ACTACTCTCACGCGTTTAGTTTTTGTGGCCATTTTTGTTTTTCATGGGGCCGTTATAAGGCCATTTTTAGTTTGGCTTTGTAATTCTTTGTAGTGGCGGGGGGAAAAGAAAAGAGAGAGAGAAAGGAAGGGGGGGAAGCAACGGTTTTCGGAGGCTGATTTTTTTTTTTTCTTTTTTCCGATTGGGACATTTTGTTGTGTTTAGGTATGCTTTTGTTTAGGGGGCTACAATATGGTGTACACAATTTTACAAACGTCCCACAAATAGTTTATCGACAACGACAGTTGTCAAGTATTACACACTGCCGCGGGTGTTTTGACCTTACGCACTGGAGCGTCACATAAGCGAGTATTTCCGCATAATATGTACGAGTACCTATTTCTTCCTTTGAATCGATCACTTCTGTAGAATCACGACGAAGCACTTTCACCATGAAATCATAAAAAACAATGATTCATGATGAAATTTATTTGGGTCCGAAGAGTAGAGCCAGATTATTTGGGTTGCAAATAAACTAGGTGAGGTTTATGCAAGGTGTTTACTTCCACTTTCAAATGTGTTAATAATGAGCAGCCAAAAAACCCAGACTGCAGGCTGCTTCCTGCAGTGGCCTAATATCTCCCCAACTAGGGAAAGGTGGGAGGAAGAGAGAAAGGAGTTGTTCTCGTGGGAAGGTAATATTTATTCTCACTCAGCAGAGTTGCGAGTCATTAAAAAGTCGACTCGCTCACAACGGGTAAGCCTGTGGGGCCACATCTATAGTAACTATGAGTAAAATGCGGTATACAGCTAGGTTACTGAGAAGTTGGGACAGTGCAAACGATGGGGCGTTGTGGGGGCGAGTGAAGCGAAGACCTATCTTACGACTGGGCGCCGTCTCCTTTAGAAGCCAACATTTCGGCTTGCTTCCTCCACTCTACTGACGCTAATCTTTCCGAAATGTGATAAATCCGGTAAAGCGTTGATCGCGCAAGCCCACACATATATAAAAACGCCTTTATTAAGTTATAAAACAGGCATCAAGCAGAGGTAAGGACGAATAAACACGCAAAATAATGCAAAATGGGAGATAAAACCTATGAGAGGAGTTATGTGTTTCAAGCAGTAATGAAGAGATTAAAGAAAGCCACTTAATTTATATGTCTCGGAAAGAAATGTATTACGACGACCTGAACCCTTTCTTGCGGAAGCCAATTGTTTTGTAAACACGGGAATGGTTCCAGCTAGAGTGCCTTCATGTGCGCTTCGCCTAGAGTGATGCCAACTGCCTGTTTCCCTTTCCCACACCCTCTTCCACCGCCATTTTGTCCCTCTCATTGTTTCCCCGTGCGCCGGAAAGTGGCCTTTGTGTCCATCGGTAATCGCATCCGAGGGGGAAAATGCTAATCCTCCCTCTGTGGGTTCCACAACGCTGCTCCGAACTTCTGAGATAAGGTGCTTGTTTCCGGGAGGGTTATAAGCCCCACGGATTATCGCCGAGGAACAAAATGGCTGCTGGTTTGTCGGCGAGTGGTATTACAAAGGGTGGCATCACCCTAGCAAAGCGCACATGAAGGCTCCCTAGTTCCAGCAGCCGCGCGATGCCGGAGAGCGGCTGCTGGAAGGATCTCCACCGACCGAGCGGCCTCGGGCCTGCAGCTTATGGGAAACAGCATTCAGTCGCCCTGGCTGTTTCAGTCTCCCGGATAGAGCGTGCCCGCGTCAACGAAGGAAGACACCCGGACATCTGAAGGTCATTGTGGCGTTCGCCGCTAGCCGCTCATTTCGCGCTTTTTGAGGTTTATCCTTACAGGAAAAGCCGATACAAAAAAACCCCTGCCGTCACGCGACTTTTGGGAGAGGGTGAAACGTGGAGGGTTGCGAGGGGCATTTTCCTACCTTGCGGAAAATGGTTTCGTAGGTCGGCCGACTTTTCCCGCGCAAAAGAAAAAAAAAAGAAGTTTCCGCGCCGTCGCAGCCAATCAGAGCGCCAGGAGAATACGGCATTTGCTGACGTCACATCCTGGCCGAGTCGCCCGAGGTGATGGGGTTGCCGCATGAATTGCCGGTGCTCCCAGGTTGCGCGAATGGCGCCGTATCGGTGGTATCGTTGTTTCGGCAGAAATGCCCCGATCGAGGCTTAGTTATTCAAATATAATCGACAACGGGCGTCTGAGCAAGGAGACAGGTCCCACAAAGATCCGCGGATTAAAAATGGCGCAAGTGGTGCCTACGAACGTTTTCTTCAATTTATCGTGTTTTTTTTGTTTTTTTGTTTTTTTTTATTGCCTTCTCGTGTCGCCGAGAGAATTTTCGGCATTTTCGCGGCACTGTGTCAATTACAAGAGGAAGTCTGCGCAACCATTTTTGTTTCCCACCAATCGAGCCAAGGCCAGTCTGCTCTGTTATCCGCGAGAGACGAGAGCCGACCAATGGCAACCCATGTGAACGGCGCAGTCTTTCTCCTTCCAGTAAGTTCGGAAGGCGACGAGAAAGTTTTTCGCAAGTGTGGACGCGGCCTCGGAGAAAAACTCGCTCCGCGAAGAGCGCTGGAGTGTCAGCCTCTTACGGCGCTGATACCCATCTAGTGAACGGTGCGCGAGACTCTTCCGCTCTAGAACACGGACTTAATTAACGCTTATATCCCTAACCAGCGTGTTGGTAAAGTATACTAGATAACAGAAACAATAAAACATTGAGAGGAGTCAGAAGACGAAACAGAGAAGTAGGCTCGCCTGTGTCTCGTCCTCCCTATGATGTATTACTTCTGTTATCTACTTTAATTAAGTGCACACCGATTTGACACCGGTGCCGGCCAGAAACCTTCTACGAATTAACTCTTATTACTCCCGGTGGCGGAACACATAACGTGTTGAGATATACAGCGGCACTGTGCCAGACTTTTATAAATCACTGAAAAAAGTAGTTAAATTAACGAGTATCGGTGTCGAAAGCAATTTGAGTGGAGTAGAAATTACACTTTTTGAAAAGTAGTCGAGTAAATTACCAACTTCCGTAAAAGTGGCAACTACCTTAAAAGTTACAACTACCAAAAATATTAACTACCGAAAATGACTAACTGCAGTGAAGTTACTTTTTTAGTTTATGGAAGATATTATTTTACAACATCGCAAAACACGGGCAAGGACGTGTATTGCATAGTGCGAACACGCAGAGCACTACCCCAAATACAGAGCGAGCGCCAAAAGTCTGGTGATTCCCTTGGGTGAGGATTTATGCGTGTTACGGGTTGGTCGGACAACAGATGTTCAGTGCCGCTCAGGCAACCTTGGGCAACGTAGTTTAGTCGCACCCCCACGCGGGCAAAAAAAGTCCAATTGTTGCTGGGGGAGAGGGAAGGCGGCAAGGGAAGACGCTCTCTAGCCCGGGCATAGTAGAACATGACAGGGCAGCGCAGATCATATCGTTTAGTTTTATGTCGCAACTCTGGCTGATTGTGAGCACTCGCACGAAAGAAAGAGAAGAGCGAGGACACTCCTCAAATTGTAATCCTTGCTGCTTATCGTTGCAAAGGGCAACAGTCATGGTGGGTTAAAAGCACGATAGAAGCTCGGAGTCGTCGCGTTATTAAACCAACACCGTCAAAATGAATTATCTGACATTGCTCCTACTTCAAAATAAATGCAGAAAAAATGAAAGCCGTTTACAATTCCCTGTAACGCCGGATTAGAGCGCAGCTCTTGAGGAAGAGGATGGAAGCGTAGTGAGCGATAGGTGACTCCTTGAGGTCACGTGACCTCAGGGGGGTCGTGTGACGTCAGGGGGTCACGTGACCTCAGGGGTGTCACGTGGCCTCAGGGGGGTCACGTGCCCTCAAGGGGTCACGTGGCCACGTGACCTGGGGATAACTCGGGTGGGGTCACGTGACCTCGGGGATGGGGGTCACGTGACCTCGGCGGGTCACGTAACCATGGGGGGGTCACGTGACTTCACGGTTACGCCGACGACGACGGCCACGCCGACACCAATGCCGACGGCGGCACCGATGCCGCTCAAGCCGGAAACGGGCCCCTAAGAGCTGCGCTCTGATATGTATACAAAGAAAGACCAAGGTCAATTCATATAGGTCGCGAAAGTGGAGTAAAAAAGCGGCCCAAAACCAATCGTTAGCGTCATCACCCTGGAGGCCGCGCTACCGCAGCGCGACTATGTTTTGTGCGGCCAAACACTAAGCTGATAAAATATTAAAGACACACTTTCAGTGTCTTATATAGTTGACTTTAAATCAAAGTATTATTTATTAATAATAAATTAGTTTAAACATGTTTAGAGTGGTGAATTTTTCAGGTTATGTTTAATATGTATTATGTTGTGCATACTTGTTGCGACATCTACAACGTCGCTATTTTTCGCCGTCGGCAGAAGTTCGCAGTCCTGATACGCCTCGTGTTTGCTTTGGTTGCGTTCGCCAGTGTGCCTACGTTTCTGTAGCTCCCGTCGAACTTTCACTTTTTGCAATAGTTTAAAACGACTTCGTGGTCTTAAGTTTTCCAACGAACGGTCTGGACTAGTTTAATTCTATTGCGCCGTTCTGTTGCTTTTGTCGTCGAGCGCCGGACGGGCACGTTCAAGGCTCTGTCGTCGGGACGATGCGCCCGCCCCATGTAAAGAGGCGCTGCGCGGTAGCGCGATGCCCAAGTGATGACTGCACCGCTGGCATCAGACTCCATCGTTTTCCTGTAGACACTGCAAGGTGAAGCTTGTAGCAGCTGTGTCCGCTGCAACTATGTGTGATGTCCTGATGTCCGTTGTCTGGTGATGTCTGGTAAGCTCTTGACCTCTTTTATGGGCCCTCATGCATGCTCATTTAGTAATAACCACCCGTTGATCGAGCTTTTTTGGGCCCAGTCTCCGTTCCAAGCTTCGCGAGACGAAACTAATCTTAGATATTAGTGGCGGCTTTGCTTGACCTCTGCTGAACGGCTGCGTGACTTCAAAAACCTAATAAGAAACAATGACTGAACATATCAGTTTTAACAAACTTTCATATTATGGTGTGAATAACACTAAAACGTCCTTTCTGCTTGAAACGTGTTTGGTGTCGTCCCTCTAACGTGCTGGCGACTATCAGGTCTACTTGCTGTGGATGTCGTGCTCGGGAATCTAGTAATGTAATCGTCTGCGTTGTGAACCTATCTAACCTCACGGGCACAGAGGTGTGCTCCTCGCTCATGGCGTTCGCTGGACCCAGACGGGAGACCAAGTACAATGATGTGACTAGTTTATCGCTAACATTATTGTGTAATCTTTTCTTTCTTAAATGTCCACTTTAGCCAAGGGTATGTAAAGTAATACACTGCTTCACATTCAGGCGGAGGGTCTGGGTTGAGTTCTGCCGGAACAGAAGCCTACAGAACAAGACACCACAGCAGCTGCGGGAACGGGCGGTATGCTCCAGGCACTTCAAACCCTCTGCATTTCTTTACCGAGGAAGGCTGCGTCGTGATGCAATACCAGCATATTTGACCACTGAGGGTGAGCACGAAATATTGTTTTCATCATTACTGAGAATAATAATGACTTTATTTTACCATACAAATATGGTGGGAGCTGAGGAAAAAAGCTGTGCAAGCAGCTTGACTGGTCCTCAGCCCCCCACAGGCACACAGCACTGGGGTGGAAGTCATACACAAGAATTTATATAATACAAAATACTTAACAGCAAAAAATTAACGAAACAAGAACAAAAGCAAAAATCTTCTAGCTAATGAACAGCCGTAAGGATTGTTTAATTATAAAGAAAATAATCCTTAAGCGCACACATATTGGAAGATTCGACATCAAAATTAGAGACCATAAGAGTGTTCAGTAATGTTGGCAAGCTTATTTTAATCATTTTGAGGCCATAATCTGTTCGTGACGTTTCTACTGCCCAAACATCGGAGTGACGGGTGGAATATGTTGCAGCTTTTTTTCGAAGTCATGTTAATGACAATAAAAAACTGTTTAACTCGCGACATTCCTGTTCATACTTTATGCTCAGTTTGAAAGCATAGTGATCAAATATCTTCACTACACGCAGCTCTCTGAAAAGTTGGTCTTTTGACCAACTTTGAAAAGATGAGCTTATTCAGAAAGTATTTTACATGCAGATACAGGGAACTTTTATAGTGTACATTACGTGTGTGCTTAACTTTGCATAGGTGCCGGAGATGCCGTCCAGAGCAGCAGCCCTGGCCAATTGACTAGCGAGGGCGAGCCCACACTGGCCAGCAGCAGTAGCACCGATGGGCCCACATCATCACGGTGTCACACGCACCACACTACAGAAGAAGGTAAAAGCAATTGCATATTGGCGGAGAAGTGTTGCAGGCCTTATTTCTTATATATTTCGGACTGTCGTGTAGTAGCCATCTTTGGGAAACATGTGAAACATGTATGAACATGTTTTAATCTATAGTCCGCTGCAACCTGAGAACGAAGGGCGAGGGTAAGACGGGCCGGGGAGGAGGAAGCAGACGGAACGCTAAAGAAGAAAGGAGGTTCTCCTCTCTCTTCTCCAGCGTTCCGTCTGCTTCTTCCTCCCCGGCCCGTCCTACCCTCGCCCTTCGTTCTTAGGTTGCAACGGGCTACAGCTTGTCACATGCCGCAGGAATTTCCTGAAACAATACAATGACTGATGTTTTTGACAGATTTTTTAATTGCCTCGTCATTGCTTTGCAGATGTGGGGAGCAGTCTCACGGCTCTGACCTCTGGCACGAAGACTAGCCCTCCAACCAGAGTTCATGGCAAGTTTTTATAGTGTGCGTTGTTTAGGACAGTCTTTGAAGATTACTTTGTTGCGTAGTACTTGACCAGTCATAGCTGGTTCAGCTTTTTGCAACCACTCTGTCACTTTGTTTCCTTTGTTTTGTTTATTGTAGTGGATCACACATACGCGATGCAAGGCGCGATGGATGGACATGGCCCGCCGTCTGGAGGAAACGATGTGTGGGCACCTGAACCTTCCCCTACCGATTATGATGCGTCGGTGTCTTCGACTCCTGCGGTTCCTCACCAACGTAGCTGTCCGTCATGATGCACAAAGTTTACTTGTACTTCCACATTTTCTACAGTGGAGGCACATTGTTTATTTCATTATTTCTCGAAATGTTTCATAATTGCTTTTGCTTTCCCCTTGCAGGGTCCTGTGCCACCCGCACCGAGGGCAAGGGGAAGATGGACGTGTTGAGGGCCAGACTTCGACAGCTTCGGAAACATAACAAGAGACTCCAGCAACGACTGCAGCGACGGCGTCATATGCTGACTGTCACTGAGATAGTTGAAAGTGTACGTAGCCTCGTCTCTCCAGCCGTTGCTGCCCTTGTGGAAGCTCAGCTGAAGATGACCAATGCGAGCAGGTTCGGTAGGCGGTGGTGCAGCCAGAACAAAGCCTTTGCCTTGGGCTTGTACTTTCACAGCCCTAAGGGTTACCGGTACTGTAGGCAATTGTTGAGGCTCCCATCCGTTAGGTCGCTACAGCTTTGGCTTCAGCGTGTTCCCCTGAGGGTTGGTTTTTAACCAGAAGTTTTCGAACTAGTCAAAAGACGTGCAGCTTCTTTTTCACCAGAAGACAAGCCATGCATTATTGCTTTTGACGAGATGCACGTCACGAAAGAGCTCTCGTACAACCCCTCTGTGGACAGGTTTGAAGGGCTCGAAGAAAGTAACGCTGGAAGAGGCCATAACCTTGTAAACAAAGCTCTTGTGTTTATGGCTAAAGGCATTCGTACGCCATCGAAGCAGCCACTTGGCTATTTTTTTGCTCATGGGGGAACACCTGAAAACATTTTGCGTGACCTTCTTTTCCAGTGCCACAATTTGCTTGTGAAAGCCGGCCTGGAGCCAGTAGCTGTCGTATGTGACCAAGGCAATCAAAAATTTGCTGTTTTTAATGGCCTTGTTACCCCTGAGAAGCCCTACGTAACTGTGAATGGGAAGCCACTTTTTTTTCTATTTGATGTTCCACATCTGCTGAAGTGCTTACGAAATATGTTCTTCAAGTACAATTTTCAAGTTGGGGACCACACGTTGAGAAGCTCTTTCCTCAGGGAAGCTTACGAAAAAGACAAACAGCTTGAAATCCGATCCATGCCAAGGCTCAGTGAGAAGCATTTTAATTTGACTTGTGCCTCCAAAATGTCAGTGAAACTAGCAGCACAAATATTCAGTAATCACTGTGCTGCTGCAATGTTTGCCATGGTAACTTTCCAGCAACTGCCAGTTGAAGCTATCCACACGGCCCGGTTTATTGAAAAAATGGATCGTCTTTTTGATAGCTTGAACAGCTCACAGTAACGCGGGAAAAGTGCATATGTGTCTGCAATGCACGAAGGCTCTGTTCACAAGGAGTTTCTAAAAGAATGCCTTCATATGTTCGAAAGCCTTACCGTTCTTGGGTGCCCACGGCAGCCTGCTTGCATTCGCGGTTTCTCCTTGGCCATTCGGTCTATTATGCTGATTTGTGAGCACCTGACATCTGAGTTTGGTTTCAGATACCTCCTGACTCGCCATCTCAACCAAGATGCACTCGAAAACACATTCTCCGTAATAAGGTCAAAGTCTGGTGCGAACGCCAATTCCTCTTGCCGGCAGTTTCAGGCAGCCTTTAGACATCTCCTAGTTAGCAACTTGTTTAAACTATCTGACAAGAGCAACTGCGAAGAGGACAAGGCAACTCTTTTAGCGGCTCTTCCGGTTGGTTTCTCAGCTTCACTTAGTCTAGGAAGCTCACTTCCACAATGTGCAGCTGACCTCACATCCAGTAGTTATCCCACTTTATTATCACTTAAAAACATGGTTTACTTTGCTGGATGGCTTGTAACAAGGTTTATCAAGTATCACACATGTCAAAACGTGACTCAGCAATGTGAATTGCAAATCAAGAATGCCACTTTTTCTGATGACAGCCAAGTGTTGTTGTATTTGAGTGTGAAAGGAACGGCTGAAGGAGACTTTGGAAGCCTCTCGGTCCCCTCACCTTGCTTTGTTTCTTTCGTTCAAGCTTGTGAGAAGGTTTTTGTGGCGTCAATTGACAGTCTTGTTTTGAAAGAAGGCGTTGGGAAGGCGTTGTGCATCACACTTCATGAGAAGGTCGAAAAGCTGCTGACACTCTGCAGTGAGGATGTCTATGGTGATTTATTTGCTTTGTTTACAAGGGTGAGGCTTCATTGGTTCGCCCGTAAAAAAAATACTGAACTCCTTGATGCAGCTGTGAGACGCAAAACCCAGCAACGAGTCCAGAGGCTGTGCAGATGAGACATCACTTGCGTTATGCCCACAGGAAGTCCCTTTAGTTTGTCTTACGTGTTGCATTCAACGATCACGCTGGCATACCGGATTGTGCGAGTACATACCTCTAAATTATCACACGCTTTGCCGAAACTGCCTACTGCGATGACCAAATGAATCTATCATACTTTAAATAAAGTGTAAAAGTTTGTTTCGCATGCTCAGACAGTGCAATCAACGTATAGGTTCAGCTAGATGAACTTAAATTTTCAATGAATCAATATCACAATTTCAGTGTCACAGCATGCAAAACTAATTTTTTCGTTCTAAGTAAAATATGTTAGATTCATTCGACCCTCGCTGTATAGTGCTAGATGACGTTGCTCACTGAATGATGGGACAGGGTGTCTACCAAATCACTTATTCCAAATTTCCCAATTTTCCCAAGGTTTTCCTCTCTATTTCGATAAAATGTTGACCGTTACTTCGGTTCAGGGAGTGCCTAGTGGCCTGCGCTGCCTAATGACGTGGCGGGCAACGTTATTCAGTGCAGCGGCACCACCGTGAAATCCTTGTGCAATCATCGGGCTTCGTTGCACGCTGCCGTTCAACTTTCGCTTATCATTTTTACTGATTAGGAACTTTTTTACGGTTCCCTTTATATTACCCTGTTCTTTAAATATAATCCGCCTTACTTAAATATTTTAAGTTTTCCCGGTTGGTAGACACCCTACACACCCTGTGCATTATTGAGGAGTGTGTGAGAAGAAGCGTTGACCTCGATGTTTTCTTGTGCAGTGTGACGACTTGAGACATAAACCTGGATTAATGTTTGGTTGTGTGAGGTATACAAAAGTATATCAAACTGCGATAAAACGTAACTCAGTGAGTCAGTATGGTGCTAACAATTTGCCACAAAGCGAATTATTATATTTTTTCTTATGCTTTCTTTCCTGTCATTTTGTGGGAGTTTCCTGCGTACTAATCCTCACATAAATAGCCAAGCTGTGGGGCACAATATGTTTGTGACGAACGCATGTGCTATAACGAAACGTCTCAATTTTCAATCTCTTGAAGCATTAATTCATGCGAACATTCCAATGCAGAAGACATGCATAGCCCCGCACCTCCACCTGTGATTGATATAGTTAAATCTAGTTACGAGCTCTCAACGTCAACAGTACAAGATAAATGCGTAAACGTGCCTCCAGTTGAGAGTATTAAGCGCGTGCATAGAGTTGTCCAGACCTTATTTCACTTCGTTTTTAATGCCATATCTATATTCAAGTGTTCAGTGGTGGTGTTGTAAGTTTGTATATAATAAACTGTGTAAACCAAGCTTGTGCCTTTTTGTCTTTCTTGGCGAACAAGCCGGTATTACAATGATAAGTACGCCTTCATAGGCGTGCTGTAACACACTGCTTAGTTGAAGATCGTAACTTATTGGTGGTTCCCAGAACTGATAAAAAACTGGTTCTTTTGGAAGAGGGATTACATGGGAGTGACTGATACAAACAAGGCTATTATGCGTGAAGCAAGGTTTGAAGGACGGTAGCAGGCATGTAGAACATCTGAAAAACTTTAAATTTCGCGCCACCGGCGAAAATCATTTAAATTTCGCGCCGAAAACCATCGTGACGTCGAAATCTTGAGGAAAATGCGTCATATCGTGTTTCTTTGTTCCTTTTTAATAAAGCGTCACTTCCTGTACGTCACGGGCGAGCATGACTAATGACAATGCCGCGCAACTAACAGATGGCGCTGCGCCCCATGAGCCGCCATTTTTTGCGCCTATGGGCTTCTATGGAAGCTTCGCTACCATCTATACATATACCTTGGAAAGACGACCTATTTCGCCCATTCTATTGTCTGGTTTACCTGACGTACAAGCGCAGTGGATGCTACAAGCCATCGGAGCTAATTGAAAGCCGCAGGAGTGTCACATGACCTTGGAGACAGGGCGCAGAGGCGCGAGGAGACGTTATCACTTGCTACGATCACAGAGCGGGATTAGCTAGGATGGCTCCAAGTGTCCGCTGCGTTTGAACACAGGATAAAACGTAGTGTAGCAACGTCGTTCTGGGCTTGTTTATGGGCTGTTTTCAGAAGTTTAAGCTTTGTTAGAACGTAGAGTGACAGCGCAAGGTCATGGCATGTCATAAATGTGAACATAGATGGCTGTAAAATGTGTAGAAAAGTTAGAAAAGGAACGCCAATTTTGTTTTTGTTTGCTGTGTTGGTTGGTTGCGACGTTGGTTTGAAAGTGTATATAAGGGGTTTATTGAATAAACTTGTTTGAGAAGTCGTCTGACTGACTTCTTTCCCTGCTTCTTCTACTTTTGGTAGTTTCAAGGTTTGTTCACACCCAGTCTCAGGTGTTTTAATGTTACTGTAAACTTACACCAGTTCGCCTCCGCCCTCACTATGTGTTGGAGTACACCTGGCAGGAGAGGGGTTTATTAGGCCTTTTTCTCCAGCGTGAGGTTCCGTTTTATTCATTTTTGTATGTTTTGACGCT